CAGTTCTACTCGTGATTATTTTGAATGCCATGACTTCAAGATTTTGTTTTGTATTCTCTCATCTAAAAATACGCACAATTATTAAAATTTACAAGGTTCTATTTGTTGCTATACACAACAACAATAAAAAAACAACAACAAATATGTATATAAAAATACATATAAAACATTCTCATGTGCTTGGAAAATCAGATCAGCAAATATTTTTAAGAGGGATTCCCCCAAGTACAAAAGAAATATATTTTTTGGAAAAGGTTTTTTAAATATTTTTAGAGGAGTAAATATAGGCGTGGATTTAAAAAAAAATATTTTTTAAAATAAAAATTAACAAAATTGTATTTAAGGGAACCCCACCCATTTTCGATTTTAATTTTTCAAGAATTTCAATGGGCTGGTAAATCAATACCAATGCTTGTTAAGATTTGCACATATATATTTGAAGATTTAAAAGAGAAGAAAAATAATTAAAAAAAAAAAATTGTAATTGTTTTGTTGTTGTTTTTTGTAATTAAAGAAAAATCCTTTTTTTTGATGGCGGGCATGAAAAAAACAAAATTCAAATATGTATATAAAAATACATATAAAAACTATGATTATTGACTTCGCTCTAAAATTAACAAAATGGTGGACCTTTGAAAAAATATTTTTGGGAAATCGCCGATTTTTTACCAAAAACCAAGTTAAAAAATAAGGAAAATCTTCACCGATTGGCTTTATCCTAGTTCATACGAGAGCTATACACTCCCAGAGAAACGTTACAAAATTTGGAACCGATTGGACTATTAGTTTTTGAGTTATCGTGCCCGCCATTCGCAAAAGAGAAAAACGCGTCTAAAGTTTGAGAATGCAGCAGTCACCTGATGCTGACACAATAAATCGGCTATATATTCAAGAGTTCTTGAGATTTTCACTTGAAATTTTGTAGAGGCATTCTTTAAAAATTCGAATTATATCAACAAAAATTGTATTTAAGGATATTTTGGATTAAAAAATAATGATTTTAAAAATTTAAAAAAATAAAAAATCTTGAATGCTAAAATTTGGTTTTATTAGCAGAGTTAACAATTTTTTTGAAGTAAAGCTATATGCCTTGATCATTTAAAAATCATTATTGGAAACCATAGCAATGCATTTTTTAAAAGTATTTTTTTTTTTCAAAACAAAAAAAATTGTCTTGTTTTTTTTTTTTTAATAATTTTTTAAGAACACATATAGTTTTGTGTTTTTTTTTTAATTTTGAAGAGCACACATAGCCTTGGATTTGTATACCCTACACAACTATGTTGTCAGGGTATTATAGTTTTGTGCAGCTGGAATAGTTTGTAACGCCACGAAATATTGGTCCTAGATCCACCTTTAAGTATACCGATCGTCATATCTCTACTAGCTGAGTCGATCTAGGCATGTGTGTCCGTTCGTCCGTCTGTCCATTATAATTTGTAAACACGATACAGGCCACAGTTTTGGACCAATGTTCATGAAATTTTGCATGTAGGATGGGTTGTGATCAATTTAGACCCCTATTGCTTTTGGTAAAGATCGGTTAATATTTAGGGGATGAAATGGACCAAAAACTAAATTTTTGTCTGATTTTCTGGTCGCTCCAGAGGCCAAACATCGCGTATTTTTGCATGGAGAAGGGGATCGGGCCAAAGAATAAGCATGCCTGTTTTGATAAAGATCGGTCAATATTTAGCAGGTCAAATGGACCCATAATTTAGTGTGAAAAATGAGACAATTTGTAGTCTATGGCATATTTATATATTTACTCCTGAAGGACATAGACCCGAGAAGTTGATAGTATATCCAAGAGGAGTGGATGACCTTTAAATTGATACCAATTATATTGTGGTATGTACTAGGATGTGGGAGTTACACGTAAATATTTACAGGTGCTTAAGTATTCAAATATTATTTTAGTAACCCGTTACCACACTAGAGGGCGAAAATATAGCGCTGATCTCTTTGAAATTTTCTATGAGGATCCTGGTACGGTCAAGGACAAAAAAATTTTGTAACGCCGCGAAATATTGGTCGTAGGCCCAACTTTAACTGATCGTCATATCTCGACTAGCTGAATCGATATAGACATGTGTGTCCGTCCGTCCCTTAAAATTCGTAAACACGTTACAGGCCACAGTTATGGACCAATCTTCACGAGCTTTTGCATGTAGGATGGGTTCTGGCCAATGAAGACCCATAAATGGACCAAAAACTTTATTTTTGTCTGATTTTCTGGTCGCTCCAGAAGCCTAAATTGTGGCCCAAGCATCGCGAATTTTTACATGGAGAACGGGATCAGGCTAAAGAATAAGCATGCATGTTTTGATAAAGATTGGTGAATATTTAGCGGGTCAAATGGACCCTGACTTTTGTGTAAAATATGAGAAAATTTGTAGTCTATAGCGTATATATTTACTCCTGAAGGATATAGACCAGAGAAGTTGATAGTATATCCAAGAGGAGTGCTTGGTCTTTAAATTAATAACAATTTTATGGTTTATGTACTCGGATGTGAGAGTTACACTTAAATATTTACAGGTACTTATGTATTCAAAAATTATTTTAGTAACCCATTACCACACTAGAGGGCCAAAATATAGCGCTAATCTCTTTGAAATTTTCTATGAGGATCCAGGTATGGTCAAGGACAAAAAAAGTTTGTAACGCCGCGAAATATTGGTCGTAGAACCATCTTTAAGTATACTGATCGTCATATCTCGACTACCTGAGTCCATATAGACATGTATGTCCGTCCGTCTGTCCATTATAATTTGTAAACACGTTACAGGCCACAGTTATGGACCAATCTTCACGAACTTTTGCATGTAGGATGGGTTCTGACCAATGAAGACCCCTATTAAATGGACAAAAAACTTTATTTTTGTCCGATTTTCTGGTCGCTCCAGAAGCCTCAATTATGGTCCAAACTTCTCGAATTACAAGGAGAAGGGGATCGGGGCAAAGTATAACCATGCCTGATTTGATAAAGATCGGTCAATATTTAGCGGGTCAAATGGACCCCGATATTTGTGTGAAAAATGAGAAAATTTGTAGTCTATAGCGTATAGATTTACCCCTGAAGACCATTGACGCGAGAAGTTGCTAGTATATCCAGGAGGAGTGATTGGCCTTTAAATTAATACCTATTATATTGTCGTATGTACTCGGATGTGAGAGTTACACTTAAATTCAAATATTATTTTAGTAACCCGTTACCACACTAGAGGGCGAAAATATATCCCTTTGAAATTTTCCATGAGGATCCAGGTATGGTCAAGGATAACATCTACAATTTTCGGTGATGATCAGATAATAATATTGGTATGAAGTGGACCGAAAACTTAATATTTTGTATTTTTTCGAGTCGGTCTAAATGTCACAATTATTAGCCGAACATTACAACACAACCCACGGAAAGGGGAATCTGGACGAGTAATTCGAATGGCTGAATGTACTGAATATTAGTAATATTTGTAAGGAAGAGCTGCCGTTGACCTCTAATCGGGCAAGAGGGTGCAAATATCACGAAATATTGCCCAGGCTCGAAATAAACATCTGCAGAAATGTAGTTTTCCGTGGTAGTTGTGTAGGTTATCGTATGGTCGGTCCCGTCCGACTATACTGCTCCGCTCACTGGTTTAGAAATATTTATGTAGGAATAAATACAGGCGAGGATTTTTTTTAATATTTTTTGAGTTGTAAATACAGGCATAGAGTAAATAAAGGCGTAAGTATACCGATCGTCATATCTCTACTAGCTGAGTCGATCTAGGCATGTGTGTCCGTTCGCCCGTCTGTCCATTATAATTTGTAAACACGATACAGGCCACAGTTATGGACCAATCTTTACGAAATTTTGCATGTAGGATGGGTTCTGCCCAATGATGACCCCTATTGTTTTTGTTAATGATCGGTTCATGTTTAGGAGATAAAATGGATAAAATAGTCCCGTCCGACTATACTGCTCCGCTCACTGGTTTAGAAATATTTATGTAGGAATAAATACAGGCGAGGATTTTTTTTAAATATTTTTTGAGTTGTAAATACAGGCATAGAGTAAATAAAGGCGTAATTTTTTAAAAAATATTTTTGATTTGGATTAAAAAAAAAATTTTAGGAGTAAATACAGGCGTATTTATTTTTTTAATTAATTTATTGAATTCTACATAAAAAGTGGATTTTTGTTTTTTAAATATTTTGATTGACTTTTTCATTCTCCCTTCACATAAAATTTCGTCCCTGAAGGAATGGTGGTGGTATATAATTTCCTCCTCTAAGATCTCAAAAATGTATTCAAAATTCATTGGAATATATTTTTAAATTGAAATCATTTTCTTTGAATTCTCGTCGTACTTATTGACAAATGTACTCCGTGTCTTCTTAATGAGCACGAAATTATCCTTAAAAATAAGTCACTCATGCATAAGAAAAATATACTGCTGCCATTGAAGTGAAGACCTTTTTTCTATGTAATACAACATCCTTTGAAGGTTTTAAATTTAAATGTGTGTGTGTAGTCAACACAATGGAGAAGAAATAGAGAGCAAGGAGTAGAAAAAATCAGCTAATAGAGAAATAATAAAATGTGTTTTCCAAATAAAAAACGAAGGTTTTCATATGCAAAAAAAAACTATTAAAGCTCTTAAGAATTTCCAATGATTTTGTCAGGTTATGAAAAACAAGAAAAACGTCATCCTGAAACAGCACACTGAGTAGTTGGTAATTGGATCCTTTTTTTTTGCATTTCTTTCGTCGGAAGATATGAAAGGATTTATTTTAGCTGCATATCCCGTTCGGGGTATTTTTACCGACAACTATTCTTTATGCCTCTTATTTTCTTAATACTCGAAAGCGGAACAATAGGATTTAAAAGGTTTTCAAATAATTGTTCCTACGGATGAGTATTTAATCTCTATATACTCTATTCAAAATGTCTTTTTAATTTTGAAATCATTTATTTTTGTTGTTGTTGTAAGCCAAAAGTCATTTGTACTCACCATTACCGAAGAATTATCCTTCATCATGTCTTTGTTAAAGGTCGGTGGCCCATTAGCAATTAAATGTGGTTCCTGTATGGGTTTCATGGGTGGCGGTAATTCCAAACCGACTTCTTCCTCGGCCTCAAAGTCCTGTTGTGATGTATTGAGTTGTGATGTGTTGGCTGTGGCCAGTAGTTGTGATGTATTGGATGATGAGTCGTCCATTTGTTTGGCTGGTAACTGCAAAAACAAAAGGGAAAGGAAAATAAATAAAGTAATACAAAATGTTTTTATAGAAAATTAAATTAAAAAAAAAAAAATATATTTTTAAAATTGAAATTAAAAAAATCGTAGGTGAGGATTAAAAAAAGGGACTTTGAAAGCTATATTCGTGGATCTTTTAAATATAGATGAAAAATGAAGACCACACATGGTGTTCTTCATTTTTTGAACAAATTGTTATGGGTATTTTTATAAAATATTTTTTTTTTATATTTCATATTTTTAAAAACCCAACCAAAGTTTTTGATTTTTTTAAGTACTTTTTTCGACCACAGATAGTCTGGGATTTAATAAAAATATTTTTAAGACCAAATATAGTCTTGGATTTTTATACCCTTCACCACACTGTGGTACAGCGTATTATGTTTTTGTGCATATTTTTGTAACAAGCAAAAGGAAATGAGATAGACCCATGGTTGAGAGTATGTATTGAATAACTTTCTGAGTCGATTTTAGGTAAATAGTGCAACAATGTCCCTATATATCCTTCGATTTACACGAAATTTGGCATAGCGTACTAAATAAAGACTAGAGTGATGTGTATTAAGTTTCGTGAAAATCGGTTCAGATTTCTATATAGCTTCCATATATATTTTCGTCCGATTTTCGGTAAATAGTGCACCAAAATACCTATATATCCATCGATTTACTCGAAATTTGGCATAAATAAAGTCTAGAGTGGTGTGTGTTAAGTTTCGTGAAAATCGGTTCAGATTTACATATAGCTCCCATATATATTTTCGTCCGATTTTAGGTAAATAGTGCAACAAAGTCCCTATATGTCCTTCGATTTGCACGAAATTTGGCATAGCGTACTAATTTAAGTCCATAGTGATGTGTATTAAGTTTCGTGAAAATCGATTCAGATTTAGATATAGCTCCCATATATATGTTCGTCCGATTTTAGGTAAATTGTGCACCAAAGTACCCATATATATTTCGATTTACACGAAATTTGGCATTGTGTACTAAATTAAGTCTATAGTGATGTATATTAAATTTCGTGAAAATCGGTTCAGATTTAGATATAGCTCCCATATATATTTTCGTCCGATTTTAGGTAAATAGTGTACCAAAATCCCTATATATCGTTCGATTTACACGAAATTTGGCACAGCATACTAAATAAAGTCTAGAGTGATGTGTGTTAAGTGTCGTGAAAATCGGTTCAGATTTAGATATAGCTCCCATATATTTTCGTCCGACTTTTGGTAAATAGTGCACCAAAGTCCCTATATATCCTTGGATTTGCACGAAATTTGGCATAGCGTACTAAAAAAAGTCTAAAGTGATGTGTGCTAAGTTTCGTGAAAATCGGTTCAGATTTAGATATATCTCCCATATATAATTTCGTCCGATTTTAGGTAAATTGTGCACCAACATATCTATATATCTTTCGATTTGCACCAAATTTGGCATAGCGTTCTAAATTAAGTCCATAGTGACGTGTGTTAAGTGTCGTGAAAATCGGTTCCGATTTAGATATAGCTTCCATATATATTTTCGTCCGATTTTAGGTAAATGGTGCACCAAAGTACTTATATATCTTTCGATTTGCACCAAATTTGTAAGGATACATATGTACAACATACCCAAAGTGATGAAGGGTATCATCCGACTTTACTACTTGCCTTACTGGTTTCAAAATGTTTTTTGAAGAGCACTCATATTCTTGGATTTTTTAAAAATTGTTTTGAAGATTTTTTTTAATTTTTTTCGAAGACCAAACATTGTTTTGTTTTTATTTTATATTTTTTAAGACCACAAATAATAAATATATATATATTTTTTTGAAAACCACATATAGTTACAAACACTTACCTTGAAGTTCTTTTCGGATGATTTCTTGACCAAAAGTTTTTCGGGTGTTTTCTCGACTTTATTTTGTGGACCTTTGCGGCCGATTTGTGGCAACCATTTACGCCTGAAAATAGAAAAAAAATAATAATTAATATAAAAATTAATTTTTTTGCAAATATATTTAATTTATATAAAAATTGGCCACACTTCGGTAGAAATAAGAACTGCAAAACCTTTTTTTCGGAAAAAATAGAAACGTAAAAATTCCGTCACTTTCTCAAGCCCTGTCACTTGTTGAACTGTCACTGATGATGATGAGTTGCAAATAAGTTTGCTGGCTGGCAAGCATAAATAAATTTACATTACCATAACAAGCTAACAGCAACAACGACAACAACTTGTTGGTGGTCTACATCCGTTTTCCTATTCCCAAAAAACAAAGAGAACAAAAATTGGAAACCCCACCTTTCACCTCTCCCCCCAAACAGCAATACATTTGTCATTGGTATATTTAATTTAATATGTTTTATGGTTAAACACAACAACTATAACCCAATGACCAACAAAATAAAGACCGCACCCACACGGGGTGAAACTTCCTCTGGCACCCTGGGTAATTCCTCTTCCAGCACTGTAGCGAAGAGTCACCAGGGCAGAAATTTCGATGATTTATCGAAGGAAATAAATAAATGAAAAAGAAAGAAACACAAAACGAACGAAAGCAACAGGATACACAATTGACAGTTTATTTGACATAGAGAATGCCTGCTGGTCCGCACTAATTCCTCAAGTTATAATAACAATCAACAAAAACCACAACAACAACAACAAAAGGTATAATAAAACAATAACAATGCCATAATAAATATACATATATCCATTCAGTCGTCCATCCATACATTTGTCGTCTATTTAACTAAGATGGACGAGGACGACGACCGTGATGATGATGATGATGACGACGCTGATGGTGGTGGTGGTGGCGATGGCGATGAAAGACAGGCGACATTGAAACGTCGTCGTAATTTTTTCATTCGTCTTTTCCCCCAAATGAGATAATTGACCGAAAATTTCCAGTTTTAGTTATTGTTGTTAACTGGCGGTAAATAAATGATGGATATGTGGGAAGTCGTATGGAAAATTATTATTTTTATACACAGGGAGAAATTATGGTGAAGCCTTAAAAAAATATATTTCTTTAAGAGCAAGAAAACCAGAGTGAACTTTTCAAAAAAAAAAAAAATCCGGATATTTATATATCCAGTATAAATATTTTTCAAAGATCAAAAATGGTCAAAAGTGGTTTAAAAATAGTTTTTTAAGAATAAATAATTTTTATACCCTCCGCCATAGTATGGAGGGTATATTAATTTTGTCATTCCGTTTGTAACTCATCGAAATATTCATTTCCGACCCTATAAAGTATATATATTCTTGATCAGGGTAAAATTCTAAGACGATCTAGCCATGTCCGTCCATCCGTCTATCTGTTGTAATTTTGCATAAGTTTGTCTTTTGTCTGCAGGCAGGTCAAGTTCGAAGATGGGATATATCGGTTCAGGTTTAGGCATAGCTCCCATATAACAGTACCCCCCAATTTTCGGCATTTTGGGCTTCTTGAGCGCGTTTTTCAACCGAATACGCTGAAATTTGGTACATTGGGTTCTTATTGCGTACTAAATGTCTTCATAAAAAATTATAAATATAGGTCCACTTTTTCTGGTAGCCCCCATATAACTTGATCAGGGTAAAATTCTTAGACCATCAGATTAAAATTCTTAGACGATCTAGCCATGTCCGTCCGTCCGTCTGTTGTAATTTTGCATAGGTTTGCCTTTTGTCTGCAGGCAGGTCAAGTTCGAAGATGGGATATATCGGTCCAGGTTTAGGCATAGCTCCCATATAACAGTACCCCCCAATTTTCGGTATTTTGGGCTTTTTGAGCGCGTTTTCAACCGAATACACTGAAATTTGGTACATTGGGTTCTTATTGGGTACTAAATGTCTCCACAAAAAATTATAAATATAGGTCCACTTTTTCTGGTAGCCCCCATATAACGGTACGTCCCAATTTTCAGTATTTTGGCGGCTTTGATCGTATTTTTTCACCGAATTAGCTGCAATTTATTATTTTGAGTTCTTAATAGGTACCAAATCTCTCCACAAAAAATTATAAATATAGGTCAACTTTTTCAGATATCCCCCATATAAGGGTACCACCCAATTTTCGGTATTTTGGGGTGCTTGAGCCGAATACGCTGAAATTTGATATTTTGTAGACGTATATGGTAACAAATCTCCCTACCAACAATTTTTAATATTCGCCCCCCTTTTTGGGGTCGTCCCCATATAACCCCCTTTTTTATATTAACATAGTTATATGATTTATTTCGTGTTTGGGTTTGGTTCTAAGACTTTGTTGTAGAACATAAGGTTCGATATTTAACTTTATATATATACTGTGTGGGAGGTACCAGAAGGATTGGACCGATATTCCCCATGTTCGAACTTGATGAAATCAAAATTTTTGAAACAAATTTGGTTCAAAGAAACATGGGGTCTAGGACCAATATTTAGAACCATAATCGGTTTGTAGAAATGTCGGTATAGGTACACTTTTTGGTATATTCCCTATATTTTTATTTCAAGTACCTGTAAGTATATCTATGGTGGAAGGTATCCAAGTTCGGCCCGGCCGAACTTTTCGCTTTTTCACTTGTTTTAAATATTTTTTGAAGAATAATTTAATAAAATTAAAAAAAAAATTAAATTAAAAAAATAGGTGTCCTAAATTTCTTAAAAATTTTTTATGGAGAACAACATGCTTCGGAATGTCCGATTTGGGCCAACTATGCACCGTTTTGTTGTATGATTTGTTGTCATCAGCCAACCTAATATAGACGTGGATTTTTTTAAAATATTTTTTTGAAACAAAAATATATATTTTTTTTAACTAAAGGCTTGGATTTTTTGAAAATAATTTTTTGATACAGACAGCGTGTTCAGGATCTGGAGCATTTTGAAAAGCTTCTGGTATCAAATAGTGGCGGTAGCCAACCAATAAGAGATGATGGTATAGGTGTATACCATAAATGAGGCCATAAAAGCAATTAATCGGATCAAGAACAATAAAGCAACAGGAGCCAATGGGTTACCATCCGAACTATTCAAGATTGGTGGTCAGATGCTGGTCAGGAGCGTGCGCCAGCTGACTAGAACAATTTGGCTAGAGGAATGCAAGCCCAATGATTGGAACCTCACCATCCTGTGCCCCGTGTACAAAAAATGAGACAATACGATATGTGCAAACTATAGAGGAATTAGCCTTCTTCCCATCGCATATAAAGTGCTATCCAGTGTGCTGTGTGAACGATTGAAGCCAATGCGGCTTCAGACATGGCAAATCCACCATTGACCAGATTTTCACTCTGCGCCAAATCCTGGAAAAGACCCACGAAAAACACATCGACTCATACCACCTATTTGTCGACTATAAAGCCGCATTCGACAGCCCTATCTGTTCAGAGGTGTATAAAGCCATTTCTGCGTTTGGCATTCCTCCAAAATTAATACGGCTATGCAGGATAACTTTAACTGACACCAGATGAGCAGTAAAAGTCGGAAAGGACCTCTCGGAGCCCTTTAATACCGAACGAGAATTCAGACAAGTTGACAGTTTGACCTTTCTAACATCCTGCTGGAAAAGGTCATACGACCAAATAACACATGTTACACGCCTACATCGACATAATGGGTCGAACACTGAGAGCCAACTATAGAGGAATAAGTCTCGACACATACCACCTATTCGTCGACTATAAAGCCGCATTCGACAGCCCTATCCGTTCAGAGGTGTTTAAAGCCATGTCTGCGTTCGGCATTCCTGCAAAATTAATACAACTAAGGTCAGTTGTGGCACAAGGTCAGTAGTTAAAGTTGGAAAGGAACTATCGTAGCCATTCAATACCGAACGAGGATTCAGACAAGGTGACAGTTTGTCGTGTGACCTTTTTAACATCCTGCTGGCAAAGTTCAACACACGTTACCTGAGAAATCAACACATGTTTCTCGCCTACTTCGATGACATCGATATAATGGGTCGAACATTACGAGCGGTAACAGCCACCTTTGAACAAATTGCGAAGGAGTCTGGCAGTATAGGGCGAGAAGACCAAGCTGATGGTATCAACGCGCAAGGCGTCCAGTAGACTCGGACCAACTGTGGAACTTGAGAACTACAGCTTCGAGGTGGTTAAAGATTTTATATACCTTGTTTCCGCTATAAACAAAACGAATTACATTAGTTTCTGAAATTCGGAGAAGCATTGTGATGGCCAACAGATGCTACTATGGTCTAAGTAAGCAGTTTAGAAACTAGGCCACCTCCCGCCACACCAAACTCACACTTTACAAGACGCTGATACTACCCGTGCTGTTATATGGATCTGAAGCATAGGTACTTGCACAAGCAGATGAGGCAGTTCTTGGAGTGTTTCAGAGAGAAATTCTCCGAAAGATCTACAGGTCGTTCTGCGTCGACGGTGAATATCGGATCTTTACAATTTATACGCGGACATCGACATAGTCAGTTGTATTGAGCTGCAGCGACTACGATGGCTTGGTCATGTTGAGCGAATGAATGGCAATGCCCCAGCTCAAAAGGCATATACAAGCGAGCCTACTGATGATTCCCGTAGAAGGAGAAGGACGAATTAGATGGAAATACCAAGTAGAAAACAACATCTTGGAATGTGGTCTTTCAAATTGGAGGAGATGCGCACAAGACCGACGAGCTTGGAAATCTTTTTTAAGATCGGCTTATGGAACAATCGTTCTGTAATAAGCCAGCTAAGTAAGTATTTTGAAATACATATTATTTACGTGAATTTTTGAAGTAGTAAATATGTGTGTGGATTTTTTGAAATGAAACTATATGCGTGGAATTTTTTAAAATAATTTTTGAAATTTAAAAAAAAAAATTTTTTGAAGTAATATTATAAGCGATTTTTTTTAAACTTTTTTCAAGTGTATATTTTTATTGTTCTTTAGTAAATATAATGTCCTATAGTATTTTTGTTTTGTTTGTTTGTATACGATATGTTGTACTTCTTTCCATCATCACAT